TGGGTGGTAAAAATCTCTTTTGTACAGTTCTTCTGTGTGTACTTGCCACCTCTTCTTAATATCTTCTGCTTCTGTTAGGGCCATGAAGAGATTAGAGTATAAATAAATAAGAAGAATATAAATTAGAGTATAGATAAATTCAGAAGCGTTCACTACCAGAAGACACAGCTGCAAAAATTAAAATTTGCTGATTGGTGCTCACATGGAAACCAGCAAAGACATCCCAGCAATCCCGGAGAAACCTCATGTGACAACTGTGTGTGACAAGTCCTCAGTAGCACCACCAAGCGGAAGCTAAAGAAATAGAAAATCAAATTTCCCCTCTCAGGGCAGGAATCTCCCACTGGGTCTATGGTTGGCACCACCAGAATAGGAACAGTGCTGTCTGTAGATGAGAATCTCAGGGAGCCTTCTGGGAATGAACCCCACCGCTTCCTCCCACTCTCCAGCTTCAGCCTGGATGCACCAAACTTACCTTGATGAAACTGGGAAGGAGATCGGGAATGATCTCAAATTTGAGTGGATTCTCCACAATATCCCAAATTTGAGCAGAAGTAACCCTAGGGTCACCTCTCAAAGCTGTCTGCATAGGTGATCTAAGAGAAAGCTAATTCCTTTGGTTCTCAGGGTCACAGAATTAATAACAGTAAATAACAGTAAATCTTGACCCATTCCAGTCAAGATCTGGAAAGCTTTTCAGGAGGGGAGCACAGGCTCTGGGCTGCATTAAAGTCTCCTAACTGAGAAGCAGCACTGTGTCCTGAAGCGTCCAGTGAGTGCCCCACCCACCCTCCCTCCCTTCTTGCCCCTCCCCTAACTGCTGCTGGAAGCCCAGGTCAATGCTCAGCACAGCCCTAATGACCACAGACAGAGCAAGGGCCTATCTCTGATCACCGTCTCACTGCCACCTTCCCAAAGTGTGTCGGCTGCTGGCAATGCTCCAAGGCTATTCAAAGCATGCCCCCAACCAAGCTGTCCCTGATGCCCCCACCTGACAAGTGGCGTCTCCCACTCTCAGAATTCCAACAGTCTTCCCCTGAACCTTTCTGACGATACCTCACTTGCTGGTTCAACCAGTGTCCACGGAGTTCTCACCTAGCTCTGGGCGTTGGGGCCGGTGAGAGTGAGACGTGGACCAGACCTCAGCGAGTGTGGCCAGGGGACAGTGTGGGAAACCAATCAACATGCACGGGGACATGGGGATCATGACTCTGCCTGGAGGCCTCCCGTGGGAAATACCACTGAACTGCAGGAGGTCTGGGGCCTCTGAGGTCTGGGGCCAGGGCCTTCCACCCTCTCCCCGCTCCCACCACCACCGCACTGTATATCCCCAGCACAGGGTAGACTGGGCTACTCGCGTGCCCCCAGGAGATGGAGCAACACTCAAGTACCATCCACACCTGCAATGTCTTTCTCTGCTCCCCCTACGTGCACATCCAGAACAGTCTGCACTCAAAATATAAATAATACATAAGTATAAATTAAAAAATAGACAAACAAGGAAAATAACAAGCTGTTTTTGTTTTCTTCTGCCACCAAAGTGGGATCTTTTAGGAAGCCCGGACTGTGCTGCCTCCGTGAAGAAACCCCCAAGAGGCCCCAGACATTGACCACCCGTTTGGGGTCTCCATGCCCGGCTATGCCCTCTCCTAGCTGGTGGGAAGCTACTTGGGTGAATGAGATGGGTCCAAAAGCATCAGACCAGCTCAACAGAGGCCCAAGGAGCCTGAGGACTCCAGATGAACCAGGACACTCTTGTGTCGTATGAGGAAATTCAGGAAGAGGGAACAGGAAAATGATCAGTATCAGTGATTCATCAGCCCCTTTCCTCAACCAGCCTAGAGGGGCTCCGCTGACTACCCCATCTTGTTCCCACACGTAGCATTTCAACAGCAGGTTTGGACACAGCAGAGCCCGGGGCTTGCCTGCCAACTCCCAGGAGATTGTTTTGCATGGAGAAAGGTAAAAGGGCATGGAAGACATGTAGGAATTCAGCATCAGGGGCCGGGAGGAAACTTTGCCCAAGTTGTAGCCCCCAGGATCATTCCCTGGCTGTTACCACCACTGGACCCAGACAGTGAGGTCTGAGTGGTCCAGGCGCCCCAGGGGCTGAGAAGGGAACTCAAGAGTGAGGAGGTGAAGCCAGGACTCGGGGTTCTGACCCTGAGAGTCCCCTCAGCAGCAGGTGACTAGGCTGAGCCCACTGCGCTCTCCGTGTTCCCCCATCTGTCACTGTGGGTCCTGACACCGGTCTCCCTCCCAGGACCCACTGAGGACTGGCTGTGAAGATGGCGGTGAGGTGACCTACTTCACTTCTCCAGACTGAGTCCCAGAAGGCAGGGCCTGATGTGGCACGAGAAGTCTAGTTAAAGGATCAAGACTAAGAATTTGAACCAGACTTTTCTGGGATCTGATCCTGACTGCTATCTACTAGCTGCGTAGTCTTAGTTTACTTGAAATCCTGATGCACGTATTTTCCACTCTTACATGGAGACAACAGATGTAATGCCTAGTTGGTGAGGACTAAAGAGAGAGCAAGAAGGGGTAGATATGTTGAGCCCCGGCACACCTTAAGTTCTCAGTAAGTGGTGGTGATGGTTATTGTTCTGAGACTGAGTTTGTAGGACTGAATAAATAAAACTGGAGACCATGCAGCCTTCAGAGTCCAAAATTTCATCCACTTTAGGTCCAGAAACCCAGTTTTCTCTACTCTTTTCCGGTGTCCTGTTGCAATACTTTCCACCAGCTGCCCAGCCCCATATCAAGCAGGGGACCAAGAAGGATCTACGAAAGATCCGTTGGGAGTTACAAGACCCAGTGTCCTGGGGTTCTGCCGGGAAAGGCAGAGCACACCCTACTGGGTGTGGCCCACCCTCCTGAGTGAGGCAATGCTCCAGGAAGCAGAGAGCAATCAGAGCCGCAGGGCTCCCAGCCCCGGGAAGAGCCCGGCCAAGCCTTTTTTTTTTTCCCCCAATTATTTTTATTAGTTGGAGGCTCATTACTTTACAATATTATAGTGGTTTTTGCCATACATTGACATGAATCAGCCATGGATTTACACGTGTTCCCCATCCTGAACCCCCCTTCCACCTCCCTCCCCATCCCATCCCTCTGGGTCATCCCAGTGCACCAGCCCCGATACACAACGGAATATTACTCAGCCATTAAAAAGAATTCATTTGAATCAGTTCTAATGAGATGGATAAAACTGGAGCCCATAATACAGAGTGAAGTAAGCCAGAAAGATAAATACCAATACAGTATACTAATGCATATATATGGAATTTAGGAAGATGGTAACGATAACCCTGTATGCAAGACAGAAAAAGAGACACAGATGTATAGAACAGACTATTGGACTCTATGGGAGAAGGCGAGGGTGGGATGATCTGAGAGAACAGCATCGAAACATGTATATTTTCAAGTGTGAAACAGATCACCAGTCCAGGTTGGATGCCGGCTGAGCCCTATAAAGGGACCAGTCTCTGTCCAGCGCACACCTCACTCGTCCTCCTCCTTGGTGACGTCTCCTCTGATCTGGTAAGTCTGCTCCGGCCTATCTCCCTTTTCTAGGAGGAGCCGGGAAGCAGCTCCGGGAGGGGAAGCGGGAGCCTGTGGTCCAGTCCCGACTCTGCCCACAGGCCTGCGTGCCTCACCCCTGCTGAGGCCCCATCTGTGCGGCAAGATGACCAGCACTCCCTGCTTCCCCACCGGCTCCTCGGTGAAGCTCTGGTGGACACGTGCCCAGTGGGAGCTGAGGACCCTCCCCCTCCTCTTGCTTTCTTCCTTCTCTGGACTCACCTGCTTATCAGGTCAAAGATCCCACCGACCCCACCCTTGAGGAGAGTGGGAGCCCCAGCCAAAGCCTTAACCCCAGGCCTGGACCCCCGCTCACCATTACTCTGGTGAGACGTCCTGCCCCCCCCCCCCCCCCGGGCGAAAGGCTGATCAGCCAGCGCTCCCCCCGGCCCCCGGCAGGAAAAGGCTCAGGGGCCGTCCGCACACAGGGCTGGGCGCTGCTCTCGGCCGCGCTGACAGAGGCCTTGGGCGGGTCCTCTTGCTGACAGAACAGGGGGGTCCTTCTACCTCAGAAGGCAGTGGGGTCTGTCTTAGATACTGGCACACGTGACACAGGTCATCTCCTGGCTGCTTAGGAAAGTCTGGGATGGGAGGGCTGCTCTGTCCATCTTCTCTGGTTGGGGTCCAGGGCAGCCCAGACCTCTGACTGCTGGGGGAAGAAGCTGCTTAGGGAGGTCAGGCGTTCTCTCTATTTTACTGAGGCCAAGCCTTGGAGATGCAGATAGTGCCCGGTAACAGAAAATCAGAAGGACCCCCATCTCCCACATTCCACCCAACAGCCTAGAACTGGGGCATCTATTTCTGTTCATTCCAAACCCCAGGCTGACTCTGGTCCCCAGTCCCTCCTTCTCTCTCAGGGGTGGTCCAGGAAGACCCCTCCCAGGGCTCAGGACAGGGCTGTGTTTCTGCCCATCTCGTGCAGAGCTTGCTTATGGTCTTGGAGGCGGGGCGGCCTCTAGGGGGTCTTCCTGAAGCAGCCCAGGAGGCTCAGACCAGAGCAGAGATGACACTGTTCCGCCCCCGTGAGTCTGCCCCTGACGCTGAACCTGGAGGAGGTGGATTTGCTGCTGTTTGGGCTGCGGGGTCACCCAAAGGCTCTGGTCGCTGGGTCGCACCTCAGACTCAGTTTTCTCACTGGGGCTGACCCCCATCTCTGCTTCCACACGCTGTGGTCCTCACCACAGTGGAGTCTGCTGATCTCCTCCGCCTACCCACACCCTGAGCTGCGGGGCCCCAGGTCCCACACTCGGTCACACCCTCCTGATCCTCGGCCACTCCCCCCACCACGTGGAGGAGCACAGTTTCTTCTGCCCCATCTGAGCCTCGCCTCACTGGCTGCTCGGTCCCCGCCCAGGTGTCCTAACCTGGGGACCCGCCCCTGGGGGGAGGATACAAATGGTCATTGCCTCTTCTTCTGGCAGCTTATTTGAAGCCAAGATGAGCGGCTCTCAGCTTGAGCAGGCCGTTACAGCCTTGATCGAGCTGTTTCACAAATACTCAGGACGCAGTGACACCATCGAGAAGGAGGCCCTGCTGCAGCTGCTGAAGGAGAATTTCCCCAACTTCCTCAGTGCCTGTGTGAGTGGGGATCTGGTCCCCCATGGAGACTGGGTCCTGGCATGACTGAGGATCCTTTCCTGGGTGGCTTTGGACCAGTCACTCTCATTCTCTGATCCTCACATTCTCATCTGCAAAAGTGCATCACAGAACTTCCTATCCTGTCCTATATCGGGGTGTAAAGAGATGAGGTATATGGCAAAGTAGGAAAATGTGTGCATATAAGTAGTTGATATTAGGTAGTCAAAAAGCGCTACAACTGGAGGGCAGTGGATGGGTCCCCTCTCACCTGCCCCACCTTCTGTATGAGACTCAAACTCTTCTGCTCAGACCCTGAGAGACTCTAGAGGCTCCCCTAGGGTCTTGAGATCAGAGGGAAGGTGACAGAAATTCCATCACTGACAGAACTTAAGAATATTTCATACAACAAAGAACTCATCCACCGACCTGATTTAACTGGACAATTCGATGAACTGAACTGATTTCAAAAAGAAGACGTTACTAGAGTAAGCAAGAAGAGGGAACTCAGAGCAAGTAAGATCTCATATGTCAAAAGAAGAGGGGGTTGGCATGAAGCAGACAAGGGTAGGGCTTATTTTAAGTCCCTGAGCAGAACCTAGGTAGGTGGTTACCTGCAGGGGGTTGGGGGGGAGGCGGTCCTGGGCTGGAGACCCCCCAACCAGCACACTGATCAGCACAGCTCTGGGCAGAGCCTGCTCACCACGTGAGGCTTTCATCCAAGTTCACACTTGGGGAAGGACTCTCCATTGAACTGCTGGGCAATGTCAGCGTTCCCACCTCATCCCACACCTCCCCTCCTCAGTGCCACACCAGACACCCCTGTGCTGCGCTGGGTCCTCATTTCTCTGTCTCTACTTCTTCCTCTTCTCCCAGCTCATCACTTTTGTGGAGCTGAATTTGCCTGGTTTGGTGTCTTTTTCCCAGAGGAGCAAAGGGGCAGAGATTACCTGTTCAATATGTTTGCGAAAAAGGACAAGAATAAGGCCCAGAAGATTGACTTTTCTGAGTTCCTGTCCTGGCTGGCGGACATAGCCACCACCACATAGCCACAACCACAGCCACGGAGCGGAGCTCTGTTCTGGGGGAAATCAGTGAGCCCAGAGGCCTCCCGACAACCCGAGAAACAAGAAAGTGTTGTCCCCCCAGATTCTGACTTATGTCCTTTCTTTATGGGGGCGCCTATGTTGTCAAAACTGCTACTCCTTGGTGAATATTATCTGGAATTTCCACCGGGTGGGATGGACCAAGAAGATGATAGCAGTGCGCCCTCTCGTGGCCTCCAGCATCAATGTGCATTTTTCTCTGCAGGGCCTCTTGTCACCTCTGTCCCTGCTCCCTAAAAAATGTAGCCAACATTTGGGGTCCCAGAGACGGAGGCCAGGACAAAGCATTCCAGCAGGCCCAAGATATGCTTTTCCTTTTGAAGGCAGGGTTCAGGATCCGGTGACCAAGAAACTGCAGTAAGCAGAAGCCAGTGTCTCCACACTGGGCCTCACGCCCCAACATTTTCCCAAGGGCCTAGTGGAGACCGGCACCGCTTTAAAAGGGTTTCCTTGCTGGGCGGGTGTGCGGGGGAGTTTGAGGACACAGGGCCATTAGTGGCTGCTAACAGGAGGCTCAGCGGTACCAGACGGTTGAATCTCCTGTCCCGTGGCCTGGGGTCCCTGGGCTGTGTCCTGGCCCCGAGCATGCACTGGTGTGTTTTCGCCTGTGTGAGTGTCCCTATGGGAGTGGGAGTCACCCTGTTCGCTGAGCTGATTCTCCGTAACTGTTTGCTACAAGCCAGGAGCTGGGTGTTTGGGGAAAGCACATGGTGATGGACGCTCCAGGCAGAGGAGGTCTAGCTGGTCCAGGGATCCAGACATCCTATAGGAGTCAAGTGAGGAGACAGGACTGCAGAAGGAGCACAGTGGAGAAGCCGCTCCGGGAGGAGAAGGAGCGCTGTGCCAAGCATGTACATTCCCGTCTCCCCCATCTGCCTCGGGTGGGCATGTCATTACCCATTGGCCCTTGGAAGCCAGGCAAGGTGCTAGGGGCTGAGGATTTAGAAACAAGCGCAACCCTGGGGCTTCCCAAACAGATCACTGGCACTCCTCAGAGCATCTCCAGGGCGCCACGAGGCAGAGTCAGTGCTCGCCTTCCTCCCCAGTGCCACTTTTTTTTTTCCATTTATTTTTATTAGTTGGAGGCTAATTATTTTAAATCATTGCAGTGGTTTTTGTCATACATTGAAATGAATTAGCCATGGATTTACATGTATTCCCCATCCCGGTCCCCCCTCCCACCTCCCTCTCCACCCGATCCCTCTGGGTCTTCCCAGTGCACCAGGCCCGAGCACTTGTCTCATGCACCCAACCTGGGCTGGTGATCTGTTTCACCCTAGATAATATACGTGTTTCGATGCTGTTCTCTTGAAACATCCTGCCCTCGCCTTCTCCCACAGAGTCCAATAGTCTGTTCTATACATCTGAGTCTCTTTTTCTGTTTTGCATATAGGGTTATCGTTACCATCTTTCTAAATTCCATATATATGTGTTAGTATACTGTAATGGTCTTTATCTTTCTGGCTTACTTCGCTCTGTATAATGGGCTCCAGTTTCATCCATCTCATTAGAACTGATTCAAATGAATTCTTTTTAATGGCTGAGTAATATTCCATGGTGTATATGTACCACAGCTTCCTCATCCATTCGTCTGCTGATGGGCATCTAGGTTGCTTCCATGTCCTGGCTATTATAAACAGTGCTGCGATGAACACTGGGGTGCACATGTCTCTTTCAGATCTGGTTTCCTCGGTGTGTATGCCCAGAAGTGGGATTGCTGGGTCATATGGTAGTTCTATTTCCAGCTTTTTAAGAAATCTCCAAACTATTTTCCATAGTGGCTGTACTAATTTGCATTCCCACCAACAGTGTAAGAGGGTTCCCTTTTCTCCACACCCTCTCCAGCATTTATTGCTTGTAGACTTTTGGATAGCAGCCATCCTGACTGGCGTATAATGGTACCTCATTGTGGTTTTGATTTGCATTTCTCTGATAATGAGTGATGTTGAGCATCTTTTCATGTGTTTGTTAGCCATCTGTATGTCTTCCTTGGAGAAATGTCTGTTTAGTTCTTTGGCCCATTTTTTGATTGGGTCATTTATTTTTCTGGAGTTGAGCTTGAGGAGTTACTTGTATATTTTTGAGATTAATCCTTTGTCTGTTGCTTCATTTGCTATTATTTTCTCCCAATCTGAGGGCTGTCTTTTCACCTTGCTTATAGTTTCCTTTATTGTGCAAAAGCTTTTAAGTTTCATTAGGTCCCATTTGTTTATTTTTGCTTTTGTTTCTAAAATTCTGGGATGTGGGTCATAGAGGATCCTGCTGTGATTTATGTCGCAGAGTGTTTTGCCTATGTTCTCCTCTAGGAGTTTTATAGTTTCTGGTCTTACATTTAGATCTTTAATCCATTTTGAGTTTATTTTTGTGTATGGTGTTAGAAAGTGTTCTAGTTTCATTCTTTAACAAGTGGTTGACCAGTTTTCCCAGCACCACTTGTTAAAGAGGTTGTCTTTTTTCCATTGTATATCCTTGCCTCCTTTGTCGAAGATAAGGTGACCATAGGTTCGTGAATTTATCTCTGGGCTTTCTATTCTGTTCCATTGATCTATATTTCTGTCTTTGTGCCAGTACCATACTGTCTTGATGACTGTGGCTTTGCAGTATAGTCTGAAGTCAGGCAGATTGATTCCTCCAGTTCCATTCTTCTTTCTCAGGATTACTTTGGCTATTCGAGGTTTTTTGTATTTCCATACAAACTGTGAAATTATTTGTTCTAGTTCTGTGAAAAATACCATTGGTAGTTTGATAGGGATTGCATTGAATCTGTAGATTGCTTTGGGTAGTATAGCCATTTTGACAATATTGATTCTTCCAATCCATGAACACGGTATATTTCTCCATCTGTTTGTGTCCTCTTTGATTTCTTTCATCAGTGTTTTATAGTTTTCTATGTATAGGTCTTTTGTTTCTTTAGGTAGATATACTCCTAAGTATTTTATTCTTTTTGTTGCAATGGTCAATGGTATTGTTTCCTTAATTTCTCTTTCTGTTTTCTCATTGTTAGTGTATAGGAATGCAAGAGATTTCTGTGTGTTAATTTTATATCCTGCAACTTTACTGTATTCGTTGATTAGCTCTAGTAATTTTCTGGTAGAGTCTTTAGGGTTTTCTATGTAGAGGATCATGTCATCTGCAAACAGCGAGAGTTTCACTTCTTCTTTTCCTATCTGGATTCCTTTTACTTCTTTTTCTGCCCTGATTGCTGTGGCCAAAACTTCCAAAACTATGTTGAATAGTAGTGGTGAGAGTGGGCACCCTTGTCTTGTTCCTGATTTCAGGGGAAATGCTTTCAATTTTTCACCATTGAGGGTGATGCTTGCTGTGGGTTTGTCATATATAGCTTTTATTATGTTGAGGTATGTTCCTTCTATTCCTGCTTTCTGGAGTTTTAATCATAAATGGATGTTGAATTTTGTCAAAGGCTTTTTCTGCATCTATTGAGATAATCATATGGTTTTTATCTTTCAATTTATTAATGTGGTGTATTACATTGATTTGCAGATATTAAAGAATCCTTGCATTCCTGGGATAAAGCCCACTTGGTCATGGTGTATGATTTTTTAAATATGTTGTTGGATTCTGTTTGCTAGAATTTTGTTAAGGATTTTTGCATCTATGTTCATCAGTGATATTGGCCTGTAGTTCTCTTTTTTTGTGGCATCTTTGTCTGGTTTTGGAATTAGGGTGATGGTGGCCTCATAGAATGAGTTTGGAAGTTTACCTTCTGCAATTTTCTGGAAGAGTTTGAGTAAGATAGGTGTTAGCTCTTCTCTAAATTTTTGGTAGAATTCAGCTGTGAAGCCATCTGGTCCTGGGCTTTTGTTTGCTGGAAGACTTCTGATTACAGTTTCGATTTCCTTGCTTGTGATGGGTTTGTTAAGATCTATTTCTTCCTGG